AACCAGCCCCGGGCTCCTTTGGCACCGGGAGCTTCCCCCCCGCCATCCGGGCCGCAGCTGGAACATCTGGAGGGCTCGGGGTGGCGAGGGAGAGAGGAAATCTGGAACCCATAAAAGCTCCAGAGCCTCTCGGCCTTGCCCTGCATTGGTCTGAGCCCGGTCCGCCCCCGCTAAGCTCGGCCTATCAGCAGGAGCCGCTCCTAAAGTCATCCCTCCTGTCCGGGTGGCCCAAAGGAAAAGCCCAGGAGCTCCTCGAGGGCTCCGCGGGGCTTTGGGGGCGCTCCGAGGGGGGAACCCCGAGGGCGAATCCTCCGGGAGCCACCGGCGGCTCCTCCCAAACCCTAAAAAAAAACAAAACAAAAAACCCGAGAGAGGAGAGGGTGTGTGGAGGGGGGGAGAGATGAAAGAAGAAAACCAAAACCCCGATTCCCCGGGAGGCAGCGACGACGAAAGCGAGCGAGCTTTGAAAAAAACCACCCGAAAACGAAGCGGCCAAACCCTGGGGGGATCCCGCTCGCCACAGGGCAAGCGCAGCCGGGGCTGCGCGACCACTCAGGAGGGCGACGATGCCCACGCCCAACGCGTCATCGCCAACGTGCGGGAGCGGCAGCGAACGCAATCCTTGAACGACGCCTTCGCGGAATTGCGCAAAATTATCCCCACGCTGCCGTCGGACAAACTGAGCAAGATCCAAACGCTGAAGCTGGCGGCCAGGTACATCGATTTCCTGTGCCACGTGCTGAGCAGTGAGCGGCCCGAGCACAGGGTGGCCCCCGCGTGTCACCTCGTGGCCCACGAGAGGCTCAGCTACGCCTTCTCCGTGTGGAGGATGGAGGGAGCGTGGTCGGTGTCGCGTTGAGATGGGTACGTGGGCTGGGCTGGGCTGGGGTCGGTGTCGCCGGTGTGTCGTCGTTGTGTCATCGCTGTCACCTCTGTGTCATCTCTGTGTCATCGCTGTGTCACCCCCGTGTCACCCCCGTGTCACCCCCCGTGTCACTCCTGTGTCACCTCTGTGTCACCTCTGTGTCACCTCTGTGTCACCGTTGTGTCATCTCTGTGTCACCTCTGTGTCATCGCTGTGTCACCCCTGTGTCACCCCTGTGTCACCGTTGTGTCATCGCTGTGTCACCTGTGTGTCACCCGTGTCACTCCTGTGTCACCCCCGTGTCACCTCTGTGTCATCTCTGTGTCACATCTGTGTCACCCCCGTGTCACCTCTGTGTCACCCCAGTGTCATCGCTGTGTCACCTCTGTGTCACATCTGTGTCACCCCAGTGTCACCCCCCGTGTCACCCCAGTGTCACCTGTGTGTCATCGCTGTGTCACTCCTGTGTCACCCCCGTGTCACTCCTGTGTCACCCCAATGTCATCGCTGTGTCACCTCTGTGTCACATCTGTGTCACTCCCCGTGTCATTCCTGTGTCACCCCTGTGTCACTCCTGTGTCATCGCTGTGTCATCGCTGTGTCACCCCCGTGTCACATCTGTGTCACCTCCGTGTCTCCTGTGTGTCACCCCAGTGCCACCTCTGTGTCACCCCCGTGTCAACCCCCGTGTCACATCTGTGTCACCTCCGTGTCTCCTGTGTGTCACCCCCGTGTCATCTCTGTGTCACCCCTGTGTCATCTCTGTGTCATCTCTGTGTCACCCCCGTGTCACTCCTGTGTCACCCCTCTGTGTTGGCTGTGTGGTGGTTGTGTCACCTCTGTGTCTCCTGTGTGTCACCCCCAGTGTCACCCCCCGTGTCACCGCCCCTGT